ACCAACGCCCCCCTCCCCGCCCCCCACTTGGTCCCGACACCCCCAGGCCCATGGGCTCTGTTCTTGAAACCCCCGACCCACACCAGAAAAAGAAACTTAACAAACAATTCTCGCGCCCAAATCGACCAACCTTCCCCTTCCCGCCGCTCCCCCCCCCCCCCCCACCCTCCCACTGGTCCCGGCAACCCCCAGCCCATGCACACCCATTCTTGACCCATCGACCCACATTACAATAGGAAAATTTCTCGCCCAATAATACCCTCGACCAACGCCCCCTCCCCCCACGCCCCCCACTTAGTCCGGACACCCCCAAGCCCATGGGCTCTGTGCTTGGGACTCCCAACCCCATGATTTCTCGCCCAAAATCAACCAACGCTCCCCTCCCCGCCCCCCACTTGGTCCCGCCACCCCCAAGCCCGTAGGCTCTGACCTTGGGACCCCCGACCCCACGATTTTTCGCCCAAAATCGACCAACGCCCCCCTCCCCGCGCTCCACTTTGTCCCGACACCCCCAAGCCTCTGGGCTCTGTTCTTGGGACTCCCGACCCCACGATTTTTCGCCCAAAAACAACCAACGCCACCCTCCCCGCCCCCCACTTGGTCCTCACACCCCCAAGCCTCTGGGCTCTGTTCTTGGAACTCCCAGCCCCGCGATTTCTCGCTCAAAAACGACCAGCGCCCCCCTCCCCGCCCCCCACTTGGTCCAGACACCCCGAAGCCTCTGGGTTCTGTTCTTGGGACCCCCGACTCCACGATTTTTCGCCCAAAATCCACCGGCGCCCCCTTCCCCGCTCCCCACTTGGTCCCGACACCCCCAGGCCCATGAGCTCTGTTCTTGGAACCCCCGACCCTACAATTTCTCGCCCCAAATCGACCAGCGCTCCCCTCCCCGCCGCTCCCCCCCCTCCCGCCCACTCGGTCCCGGTACCCCCAGGCCCATGGGCTCTGTTCTTGGAACCCTCGACCCCGCAATTTCTCGCCCAAAATCGACCAACGCCCCACCCCCCCCGCCCCCCACTTGGTCCCGACACCCCCAAGCTCATGGGCTCTGTTCTTGGGACCCCCGACACGACCAACGCCCCCGCTCCCCACCACCCCCTTGGTACCGACGCCCCCAAGCCCATGGGCTCTGATCTTGGGACCCCCGACCCCGCGATTTCTCACCCAAAATCGACCAACGCCCCTCCCCCGCGCTCCACTTTGTCCCGACACCCCCAGGCCTCTGGGCTCTGTTCTTGGGACTCCCGACCTTGCGATTTTTCGCTCAAAAACGACCAACGCCCCCCTCCCCGCCCTCCACTTGGCCCCGACACCCCCAAGCCTCTGGGCTCTGTTCTTGGGACTCCCGACCCCACGATTTCCCCCCCAAAACCGAGCAACGCCCCCCCCTTCCCCGCCGCCCACTTGGTCCCGACACCCCGAAGCCTCTGGGCTCTGTTCTTGGGACCCCCGACCCCACGATTTTTCCATCAAAAACAACCAACGCCCCCCCCCGCCCCCCACTTGGTCCCGACATCCCTAACCCTCCCCACGATTTCTCGCCCAAAAACGACCGATACCCCTCACCTGGCCAGGCCTCGGCTTTCCCAAGCATCTCGGCTCTGTTCTTGGGACCCGCGACCCTACGATTTCTCGCCCAAAATCCACCGATACCCACCACCTGGCCTTCCCACCAGGCCTCGGCATCCCCAGGCTTCTGGGCTCTGTTCTGGAGACCCCCCACCCCGCGATTTCTCGCTCAACATCGACCAACGCCCCCCTCCCAGCCCCTCCCACTTGGTCCCGACACCCCCAGGCCTCTGGGTTCTGTTCTGGGGACCCCCGACCTCAAGATTTTTCGCACAAAAACAACCAACGCCCCGCTCCCCGCTTCACACTTCGTCCCGACACCCCCAGGACTCTGGGCTCTGTTCTTGGGACCCCCGAACCCACGATGTTTCGCCCAAAAACGACCAACGCCCCCCTCCCCGCCCCCCACTTGGTCCCGACACCCCCAGGACTCTGGGCTCTGTTCTTGGGACCCCCGACCCTACAATTCTTCCCTCCAAAAAAAAACGACCAACGCCCCCCCTCCCCCCTCCCGCTCCCCACTTGGTCCCGACACCCCCAAGCTTCTGGGCTTCTTGGGACCCCCGACCCGACGATTTTTCGCCCAAAAACAACCAACGCCCCCCTCCCCGCCCCCCACTTGGTCCCGACACCTCCACGCCTCTGGGCTCTCTTCTTGGGACCCCCGACCCCACGACTTCCGTCCAAAAGCGACCAGCGCCCCTCTCCGCGCCCCTCACTTGGCCCCGACACCCGCAGGCCTCTGGGTTCTGTTCTTGGAACCCCCCACCCCACAATATTTCGCACAAAAACGACCAACGCCCCCCGCCCCGCCTCCCACTTAGTCCTGACACCCCCAGTCCTCTGGGCTCTGTTCTTGGGACCCCCGACCCCGTGATTTTTCGCCCAAAAACGACCAACGCCCCCCTCCCGCGCTCCCCGCTTGGTCCCGACACCCCCAGGCCCATGGGCTCTGTTCTTGGGACTTCCGACTCCTACGACTTCTCGCCCAAAATCGACCAACGCCCCCCTCCCCGCCCTCCACCTGGTCCCGACACCCCCAAGCCCATGGGCTCTGTTCTTGAGCCCCCGACCCTACGATTTCTCGCCCAAACACGACCAACGCCCCGCTCCCCGCCCCCCACTTGGTCCCGACACCCCCAGGCCCATGGGCTCTGTTCTTGGGACCCCCGACCCCACGCTTTCTCGCCCAAAATCTACCATCGCCCCTCCCCGCCACCCACTTGGTCCCGACACCTCCGGGCTCATTGGCTCTGTTCTTGGAACCCCCGACCCTACGACCCTCCCCGCCCCCCACTTGGTCCCGACACCCCCAGGCCCATGGGCTCTGTTCTTGGGACCCCCGACCCCACGATGTTTCGCCCAAAATCGACGAACGTCTCCCTCCCCGCCCCCACTTTGCCCCGACACCCCCAAGCCCATGGGCTCTGTTCTTGGGACCCCCGACCCTACGATTTCTCGCCCCAAATCGACCAACGCCCCCCTCCCCGCCCCCCACTTGGCCCAAACACCCCCAGGCCTCTGGCTGGTGTTCTTGGGACCCCCGACCCCAGAAATCCCCCCCCCCCCTTCCCCAAAACACGTCCTACGCGTCCTTTTCCCCGCGCCTCACTTGGCCCCGACACCTCCAGGCCTCTGGGCTCTGTTCTTGGGACCCCCGACTCCACGATTCCCCTGCCAACATCGACAGATACCCCGCACCTGGCCCCCACCTGGCTCCCACCTGGCCACCACCTCCTTCCGACCCCCGACCCCACGATTTCTCGCCCAAGAACGACCAACGCCCCCCTCCACGCCCCCCCTTCCCCCCCCCCCTCCCACCTCGCCCCGGCATTCTCTCCCACGGAGCCTTTGTTTTTCAGACCCACGACGCCACGATTTCTCGGCTTGGCCCTGGGCATTTGCGTGTGCAGGTCAGCCATTTGTGTTTGCAGCATGGCTCCAAGGGCATTTGTGTCTGCAGCTTCGCTCTCGGCATGTGTGTGCAGCCTGGGTCCGGGCATTCGTGGGCCGTCCGTTTAGCCGATCCACATGTTGAGGCTATCACGGTTCTCAATATTCGGCAGCATGCCTCTAATACTCTCTCCGCGACTGGGTTCACGACTACGACGAGCGTTCGTCGTTGCTCTTTTCGGAATCGGAGGCACCTATCCAGCCTTATGCTTTTTCGTCACCGACGCATGGGTCCGCTCGGCGACTTCCTTCCGTTTGCGCTCTTGGCCAGCACAACATATGTTGCATCTCTGCTTCCCATTCGCCTTCTGCGTCGATCGCCCAGCCAACCAGTTGCTGTAGTGCTCCCTCCCGAAAGCGCCCTTACATTCTACACATTTCCACTTCCCTCGCTCCAGCTTTGCGCCATCGATGCAGCGCTTGCACTTGCGGTGCTGATCTCCTGCGCACTCCCACATCCAATTCGAAAAGTATTCACGCCGCTGCGCTACCTCGCACACCACGCAGGCCCTCACGTCCTTCCTCGCATATGTGTTCCGCTGTGCAGCCCCAGCGTTGACGCAGCGCATGCATTTGCGGTCACGATCGGCCAGTCCATTCCACATGTTTTGCGAAAAGGCATCACGCCGTTGCGCCACCTCGCACACAACACAGGCCTTCACGTCTTTCCTCGCCGCCGAGTCCCGTTGGGGGGCCGCATCCTGGACGCACTGGGTACATGCAATGGTCTCTTTTGGAGGCGATGCACCACATGTGAGCGGAAAACTCCGCCTTACTCTTCGACTCCCCACATTTCGAGCATACCCTCCGTTTCCCTTCCTCGGCGCGCTGTCTTTCCTCCTCTCTCATTGATTTCTTACACGCTTTGCACTTCCGCTCCTCTGCGTTCCTCTCAATCCTCGCAAAATCGTCCACCAACTTCTCCATGCCGCAGCGGGAACACGTCAGGTGCTTCTTCAGCTCCTCGCACTCTTTGCACATCCCCCCTCTGCACCGGCTGTTCCCTGCAAGGTCCCACTGGTACGGCGCGAACGCTTCTTCGTACTTCCGACCCTCGCACACGCGGCAACTCCGTCTCTCGGGGCAGTCAACGCAACGCCGCGTGGTCAACTTCAACGGGTGGTGCTGTGACGCGTGGAACGCCTCCTGGCACTTCCATAGACCACACTCCATGCATTGCCACGGCGTGCCGGACCTCTTCTTATCTTCCAGGCACACGCTGCGCACGCGGAGCCCATCTGCGCGGCTCCACTGCCCGACCGTTGGGTACATGTTCTTGTACTTCGTGCACCCGCAGACCGCGCACCTGCCAGACGGCATGAACTCCAGCTCCATCGCCTCCCAGTCCAAGTCTTCTCCGCGCAACGTGCGCAGCAACAAGCCTGGGCCCTTCCGTTCGTCCTTCTTCTGATACGGCGCAATGTCGAAGGGGCGAAAGATGAGCATGTCCTCACGGCGCTGCACCCGCGTCAGTGCCACGTAGCTCGACAGAGGTGACGTGCCCCCGCCGATGCTCAGGTCCACTATGACACCCCCCTTAAAAGTTTGCCCCTGCGCCGCATGGGCCGTCACGCCGAAGGCTGGAGCCAGCGGGAACTGACGCCTTTTCACCTTCAGCCGCGGGTGCGGACGACCTATGTCCACGAACCACTCCTTCTTTTGCGGAACCACCGGGTACAAGCCGGGCGTCCTCAATCCCCCGATCGTCCACTTGCACGGCTTCCGACCGCCCTTTCCGTCGTCGCCTTCGTCGAACAATACAAAAATCACTTTCGGGGTTTTCTTCAGAATGGTCTCACCTCCCCGCGTGACCTGATCGTGCTCTGCGTCCCCGTCGCAAACCCAAGACTGAACGCGGCCGACGCGACCGCGCAGGAGGTTCTTGTCCTCGCTGCGATCGATGTGATCAGTCAGAGCGACTGGCATGCCCTCTGCGAGGGGCAAGAAGCCGTACAGGTCTCCGCTCTCCTTGTCGTGTCGTTGGAGCCATGCCATTTTCTGCTGCGGCAGATCTGGTCGCTCGCGGAGCGCCTCCGGCGTCGGCGTATCCCGCGCAGGGATGTACACCATCGGCTTCCCGTGCCTGCGCGCGTACTGCGACGCTCGGAGCTTGTTGGCTTCATACTTCACGTCGTTGTTCGGAAACACGCCCGGGGCAATGAGGAACTTCTCCGACTGCAAACGCGGGTCGTCCGGGCCATCCACCACCAGACGGCGCCGCGCACGTTCCCTTCTACACACCTGACACTCCTGTTGGCGGATCTCTTTCGTCGTTGTCGTGCGTCTTCGACGTTGACCTGCTGCACCCGCCACTTCACCTTGCGCGCCGTCGCACAACTTCCGGCATGCCCGATTGCGGCAACCCACGTCTCCGTGCAGCCAGCTCCCCGTCACAGTGGTGTCCTTGCCGTGCAAGAACGCGTGCGCGTTCGCCGACAGCACCCCTGCACGGAATTATTCCTGCACCTCCTTCAGCCAGGCGTCGTCGCACCGCTCGCACCTCTCCAGCTCGGTCACGCCCTGCACGCCGCACTCGGCCCCACCCCAAAGTAGAGATTTACCATGAAGCACAGGTGGCAGGGATGTGTACTTGCGCGCCGCCGAGATGCGTTCGGTGGGGACGTCCGCAAGGAAGCCTCCGTCGGGGATGGCCAGTTGGCACAAGTCACCACTCAGCACGACGTTCAAGCCGCCGAACGGGCGCGGCACGCCTCCGTCTCCGCGCTTCGTGGTGCCCACATCCCGGATGACCCCTCGCAGTTTCGCGTCTACTTCTGCCAGGAGCCTGGCGCTCACCATGCTGATTTCGTCGATGAACAACCACCGCCACTGGAGCACGCGTTTAGCAGTCTCGTACTGCAACTTCACATCTTCCCCCTTCTCTTCTCCACGCTTGATAGCTGGTATGCCGCACGCATGGTGGATGGTGCCCCCTCCTAGCAACTGCGCCATGACGGCTTGCAGGGCGGTGATTTGAAAGTTCACCCCGATACTCCACTTCATCAACCCCTCGAACAGCTCGTGGCGAAGGATGCGCAACACGTGTGATTTGCCCGTTCCAGGGCCCCCGTGCATGCACCACTGCAGAGGTTCCCCCATGGCCGTTTCATCCATTCCCTCGCCATCGATATCCTGCATCACTCGGCGCGCCACCTTCTTCACCATCTCGAACTGCTTCGCGTTCACTGCGCGCCGCCCCGTGTCCTTGTCCACCCGGAACTCAAGGTCCGCGAGCCATCTCGCCACGTCTCCCGACGTGGCCGCCGCGCCCGCGACAACGACTCCTCCCTCGGCGTCTGCCACCCTGTCGGCCATCGAACACTCTTTATTTCGAGACTTCCGCGCTTCTCGCAGCACCATCTCCAGGTCACAAGCCTGCTCTGCTGGCCACGAGCCTGTTACCTCGCTGAGCGGCGTTTCGCCGTCCCGAAGCCCCCACGCCTGCTGCGCTACCGCCATGCCCCCTTTTGAATTGTCGTAGTGCGACGTGCCTCCAGCTCCCTGGCCGGCGTCTGCATCCTCCTCCCCGCTGGTGCTGTCTCCGTCCCCGTCCTTGCGTCGCTTCCCGCCCACGCGCGACTTCAGCGCCTCGTCGAGCTGCTCGAAGCCCACGTTTAATTCAACATCGCTCACGTCTTCGTCGCTCCGCTCTTCTTCTTCGTCAGCATCGCGTGGCCGGACGCGATGCACACTCAGGGAGTTCCCCACGTACCGCGCGGCCTCCTTCGTCTGCACTCCGCCATCCAGCCACGCCGCCATGGCTGCATCCCACGTCGACGCTTCGCCGCGCAGGTTCCCTGCGAACGCCGCGTGTTCGTCCGCCACGTCGGGCCTCAGAGTCCACGGGTGGAAGTACGTCATGACAATGCGCGCCGACCTCTCCGCTTCCCCTGGACGTCCGCGCGGCACGGGCGCTCCGAAAAAGGTTGGTGCCATGGGCCTTTTATTCCGCTTGAGAACCCACGTGTGGCGAATGTGGGCGCACCCTTCGGTGTCTGGATACGGAACCCAATCGTTGCCTCCGTCATCCTTCACCGCGTAGTCAACCCCGGGCACCAAATCCTCCTCCAGACACACGTCCCCTCGCCTCTCACGCAGTTTGTCCTTGCCCAACTGCGTCAAGACTGCATGATGGCGTGGGTGTTCTGCATCCGCGACTCGCGTCGGGTACGACAGCAACACCGGCGTCCAGTACGTTGCGAACTCATATGGGGATAAATGCCACACGTCGGACCTCTTCGGGCGCAGCCCATACAACATGCCCACATCTCGAACAGTCACCTTGCGGCGTCTCTTCTGCCGCATGTCCACCTCGGCAAATTGCGCTCTGCGACCTCCGGCCGCACGGTCTGCCAAGCGCTCGACCAAGTCAACGTACTCGCGGCCGTAAAAGGCTGTCGTCTCGCACGACCTCAATGACTCCGCAGCAGTCACGTCGCCCTCTCGCGCGAAGGCCCTCAGGTTTGCACATTCGACTTGTCCTCGCACAATGCCCTTGCCGTAAGCATCGCTCAGAATCCGGTTCGCTACCCGCTTACCGATCCGATTCACGTTCTCGCCCTGAATCTGCCTGCCCAGCTTCTCGACTCCCTTGCAACACTCTTTCGCCTCGTGGAAAGCCATGGGCTGCCGCTTCGTACAGTAGTCGCAGGCGTATCCTGCCTGTGCGTCTTGCGCCACCTGCGCAGCCCTGATGATCGCTGCATCGTCGAGCTTCCTGTCGCAAGCTTTCCGGCACGTGCAACAGACCCCTGTGATGGGGAACCGATACGGCAGCTGCACGTCCGAATTGAACCGCTGCGCAGACAACATGCACGGATGCGTGCCGTTCAGGCTTGCGTGATTCATCGGCCCGTGGAGGCTTCCAACTCGATTCCGACGCCCTGCCTTCGGCATGTCCAACGCCACCGCCTGCCCCGGACACACGACGATAGCGCGGCCTATGATTTGCGCCGTGCGCGGGAAATCCGATTTACACAACTTCGGGTTGTCCTTTCGACGGCACGCTGGCAAAGGTACTCGCTCCCCAGTCTCTTCGTTCTTCAGATGGACGTGGTTCTGCTTTCTTTCCTGTAAGTACTGTACGTCCTCGTCGAGATACGCTTTCTCCCATGCCACAGCGTCCTGCCGAGCCTGCGTCTGCGATGCTTCTGGATGCAGCGTGCGCGTCTGAAACGCGGGCCTGCCTAAGAGCCCATCCTCGACTTTAAACTCCGGCCACGCCTTCTCGGCCTCCTCCAGCCTCCGATCGATTTCCGTCGTCGACACCTGCTCTGAATAAACCTGCCGACAAACGCGGCTCTTATACTCCAAATACCCCTCCATGATCTTCTTCCCGCGGTCTTGCACGTCCTGACGGACGATTTCGAACACCTGCTCGAGCGGAGTGTGTTGGTGGAGGCACTGTATGAATACCTGGCAGTGCGCGTGCAGAGATCCCGAGGATTTCTGCGCTTCGATGGACACGTAGTCGGCATCAACGCGCCCGAAGGCGCCCCCGCCGGGCATCGCGTTACTTCCGAACAGGTCTTGACAAAGGATGCCATCCTGTGCGTGATTGCATCGCGGGCAGTTCGGGCAAGTCCGCAGACCAAAGAGGTGCCGGAGCGTCGCGTCCACTATGATGCGGAAGCCGTCGACGCTAGCCATGGGATCACGCGCGAGTAGGCGTCTACGCTCGGCCCACGACGGCACTCCTGCCCGTGCTGCATCCATCGGAAGACCGAGGCGAGCCTCGTCGACGTCGGGGGCTACGCGCGGCCACTCCCGATCCCCCGCCACTCGTGACTGCGCCTGATCTTCTGATGCCGCGTGCACGGGGTCCTGTCTTCGCGTGCGCGACAGGCGGAGCATGAGCAGATTGTGGCCTTCGTCGGGCGAAAAAGTTGCGAAGATTGGAACGCCATACCGGACTCGAAGAGCGTTCGTCTCAAACCGCATTACACGACGAGCTTCCTGTGTACCTGGCAAGCGCCGCGACGTGTGCTCAATGTGTGTGAGGAGCTTGTGTGCGGCTTTCCCCAGATTTGGCACGTGCCGAACTTTCGTCATGTCGCCCTTGACATTCTGCTTTCTGCCGTTGATGTCCACGTACTTCATGTCTAGCGCGCGGTAAATCTGTTTGGCGCCTTCGCCGATCTGCTCAGGCGTCAGCTGTTCCAACTCGCCCGTGGCGCTCGGTGCCACGTACGTGAACCACGTCCTGCTCAGGTTCACCGCCGAGCGGAACACGAGGTTCCACGACACGAACCCGAAATACCAATCGCGACACAACTGGCTCTCGACGCGACGACTCATAATCCGCACCCACAGTGGCAGCTCTACACGCGGCGCCCCATTCCCCCTGCGATGACGCGGACGCTTCATGAACTCAGGGCCATCTGGCATCCCCGTGCAGTACTTGAACAAAAACGCGAACGCGACGCCAAAGTACCAGGGCTCGAACTGATCCATCAGAACGTTTCCCGTGCGCACGCGAAGGCGGTCCACGCGCTTCCCCTCGGTCGTCGCCTGCTCCAGCATGACGCGCTCCGCCGCCTCCCGCGACGTCTGCTCCGCCCCCGGGCCCGCCCCTTCGCGGGCGCGAACGCGTTTACGCGCCCGTTCCGTCGTCCCGTCGCCACCCTCTTCTTCGCTGGAATCCGACGTCCCGTTCGCATCGCCGTGCGCGCACTCCTCATCCAGCCGTTGCACGAAGGTTCGCACGGCCTCGATCCGCTGCGCATTGATATCTCCCTCGTCGAAGCTGCTCTTCTCACATACCACGGCGTTCGTCTTCGTGCTCTCCAAAATATCTGCCGCCTCCCTTACTCCGTCGGGCCTCGGAACGGGCGTCGCGGCCTTCTGCATCTGGATCTTGTCCAGGGCATCATCCAGGGGTACCAGGCGCATGATCTCCGGGGGCACGCCTTCCTCTGGCAGTTCCATTGCCCTCTTCCGAACATCCTCCATGTCCACGTGTCGGTACGCGCGATGCCCCCGCGCTTTCGCTCCCTGAATCAGATCCACGACCACCTTCCTACGCACCAACGCCTGGTGCACGAACTTGGCCATGCTTGCAGCCGTATCGTCGTCGCCGCCAGACTTCAGTATCACAGACACGATCCCAGCCAGCTCCGCACCTGTGCGCGGCACCGGCGGCGCGCGCCTCTCCGCGGCAGTTGCGTCCGCTGCGCTCAACTGTGCTAGCAGATCCGCCCACGGCATCGGGAACGAAGTGGCGTTTCCGCGCGCCGCCATGCGGACCTCGTTGCCGCCCGCTTCCATGTCGAAATCCCGATCCTTCCGGTACCGCTTCTCCAGCGTAAAACACACCATCGACGTTATGCACACTGACGCGCAAATCATTTCCAATACCGTCACCTTGGCGCCGAACACCTCTTCTGGCGAATAAACGGCCATGATGTCATTGGCCAGCGACGCAGGAGATAGCGCCGCTTCGCCATGGGGCCCGGCCATCGCGTTCCCGCACTCCCCGCACAACGGGGCTTCACAACCGGTGCATGCACTATTCACGGCGTGCGTCGTGCCGCTGTGGCACCGCATGTCCTCCGGGCAGCAGAGCACCTTCATGGGCCCGTCTCCTGATGGCACGCACACGTGCCAATCCTCGAACTCGTCCATGCGGTCTCGAAGGTGCACGCCACTGCTCCCCTCCCCAGCGCCATCTACTTCGCCGAACCGCTCCAGGTACGATTGTCCACTTCAGCAACCCCTCGAACAACTCCTGTCGAATGACGCTGAGAACGTGCGACTTGCCTGTCCCCAGGCCGCCGTGCATGCACCAACGCAAAGGCTCCTCGGCTCCTCCATGTCCGCGTCCTCTCCCGCCTGCCCGTCTATCTCTTGCATCACTCGGAGCGCCACCTTTTCAACCATCTCGAACTGTTTCGCATTCACGACGCGCCGACCCGTGTGCTTATTGATTCGGAATTCGAGTTCTCGAACCCACTTCGCAACGTCTTCAGAAGTTGCCCCAGCCTCTGTAACGACGCGCCCGGGATCTTCTGCCGCTGCAATTCTGCCCGCCATCGACCTCTCCTTGTTCCGAGACTTCCGCGCCGCTACCAATACCTGATCCACATCACAGCGTTCTTCTCTCGACCACGTGCCTGAGACCTCGCTGAGCGGCGTCTCGCCATCGCGCAGCCCCACGCACGCTGGGCTACCAACATGCCTCCTTTGGAGTTGTCGTAGTGCGAGGTGCCTGACACGACCCCGTCCGCTGCCGCGCCGTCTTCCCCGCTGCTGCTGTCTCCGTCACCGTCTTTCCGCTTCCTCCCGCCGACGCGCGATCTCAGCGCCTCGTCCAGCTGATCGAAGCCCACGTCCAAGTCCTCGTCGCTCACGTCTTCGTCGCTCCTTTCTCCCACATCTTCCGCATCCCGCGGCCGCGCGCGGTGCGCGCTGAGGAAATTCCCGACGTACCGCGCAGCCTTTTGAATCTGAAAGCCGCCGCCCAACCACGTGACCATGGCGCCGTCCCATGTCGGCGCCTCTCCTCGTTGATTCCCTGCGAATACAACGTGGTCGTCCGCCTCGCTGGGCCTCAGCGTCCATGGGTGGAAGTACGACATGACTATTCGCGCCGACCGCTCCGCCTCTCCATGTCGCCCGCGCGGCACGGGGGCCCCGAAGAACGTAGGTGCTGCGGGCCTCTTCTTGCGCTTCAAAACCCATGTGTGTCGGAAATGAGCACACCCCTCATTGTCTGGAAGCGGAACCCAATCCACTCCTCCGTCCTCCTTGACGACATAGTCCTCCCCCGCATGGAGCTCCTCCTCTGGCTTTCTGTTCCTGCAATGTTGCTTCATTTTCTCCTTTCCGCTCTCCGTTAAGACTGCGTGGTGCCGCGGATGCGATGCATCCTCCAACTTCGTCGCGTACGATAGTAGAATGGGTGTCCAATATGTGGCCAACTCATACGGCGACAGGTGCCACAGTTCGTCATCCTTCGGGCGTGAACCGTACAACATGGCAACGTCTCTGAGGGTCACTTTCCGGCGTCTCCTGTTTCTCATGTCCACTGCGGCGAACTGGGCCTTCCGTCCGTTGGTGGCGCCGTCTGCCAGGCGTTCGACCATTTCCACATACTGCCGCCCGTAGAAGGCTGTTGTTGGACATGATTTCAACGCCTCCGCCGCAGTCACGTCGTCCTCCCTGGAGAACGCCCGAAGGTTCGCACACTCCACCTGTCCTCGCACAATGCCTTTCCCGTACGCGTCGCTCATTATGCGGCTCGAGATTCGCTGACCGATGCGATTCACACTTTCACCTTGCAGCTGTCGGCCGAGCTTCTCGAAGCCTGTGCAACACTCCCTCACCTCGTGAAAAGCCATAGGCTGCCTCTTCGTGCAATAGTCGCAAGCGTACCCCGCCTGGGCGTCCTGCGCCATCTGTACGACCTTGATGATGGCGGCGTCTGCTTGCTTCTTGTCGCACGCTTTCCCACACGTGCAACAGGCCTCCGTGATTGGGAACCTATACGGAAGCTGCACGTCCGAATTAAAGCGCTGCGCGGACAACATGCACGGGTGCGTCCCATTGAGACTCTCCTGATTCATCGGCTCATGTAAGCTGCCTGTCCGATTTCGTCTGCCCGCCTCGGGCATGTCTAGCGCCGACGCAAGCCCCGGACAGACGACAACGGCTCGGTCTACAAGCTGCGACGTGCGCGGATAATCGGCTTTGCATAACTTGGGATTGTCCTTTCGACGGCACGCAGGCAAAGGTGCACGCGCTCCTGTCTCATCGTTTCTCAAATGCACGTGGTGCTGCTTTCGCTCCTGGAGGTATTGGACGTCTTCGTCCAAGTACGCTCTTTCCCAAGCCGACGCGTCCTGCACAACTTCTGCCAAAGTTGCGTCTGGACCAACAACGCGCGTCTGAAGCGCCGGCCTGCATGCCAACCCGACCTCGTTTTTAAACACTGGCCAAGCCTTCTCCGCTTCCTCCAGATTATTACAGAGTTCCTGTTCCGCAATTCGCTCTGAATAGACCTGCCGACACACTCGGCTTTTATATTCCAGGTAGTCCTCCACCAGCTTCTTCCCCTGGCCTTCTATATTTGCCCGCACAAGCTCGAACGCTTTGTCCAGCGGAGTGTGCTGATGCAAGCACTGCGCGAAAACCTGACAGTGAGCGTGGAGGGCGCCAGTCGACTTCTGGGCTTCGATCGACACGTAGCAAGCATCGACGCGCCCGAATACATCACCTTCTGGAGCAATACTACTCCCGAACAGATCTTGGCACGGAGTCCCATCTTCCGCTTGGTTGCATCGCGGACAGTTGGGGCACGTCCGCACCCCGAACAGGTGACGGAGCGCGGCGTCCACTATGACGCGGAAACCGCCCACGCTCGCCATGGGGTCACGGGCGGTAATTCTCCGGCGCTCGCCCCACGAAGGTATTCCAGCGAAAACGGCTTCCACTGGGATTTCCGCGCGCACGTCCTCGGATGAAGGCGCATCGCGCGGCCACTGCCGCCCGCCCGCTTGCCGCGACAATGCCTTGTTCTCTGCCGCTAGATGAACCGGGTCGCGGCGCCGAGTGCGTGACAACCGGACCATCAAGAGGTTGTGTCCTTCGTCCGGCGAAAATGTTACCAAAATGGGCACGCCGTACCGCGCGCGCAGCGCGTTTGTCTCCAATCGCATCACCCGACGCGCCTCCTGCGTTCCCGCGACACGCCGCGACGTGTGCTCTATGTTCGTCAGGAGTTTGTGGGCGGCTTTCTCGCAGGCCTGGCACGTGCCGCACCTTGGTCATGTCTCCCATAACTTTTTGCTTTCTATTGTTCATGTCTACGCACATGCCTCCCAGAGCGCGATCGATTCCCTTTGCCCCTTCGCCGATTTGCTCGGGGGTCTACTGTTCGCCCACGGCTTCCGGACTTGCAGAAACGTATGTAAACCACGTTTTGCTCAAATTCACCGCCGACCGAAACACGAGATTCCATGACACGAACCCGAAGTGCCAGTCGCGAGAGAGTTGGCTCTCGACGCGACGACTCATCACGCGCACCCACAGAGGAAGCTCCACGCGCGGTGCTTCTCGATCGCGCCGATAGCGTGGACGCCTCATGAACTCTGGCATGTCCGGCATCCCCGTGCAATACTTGAAAATGAACGCGAACGCAACACCGAAGTACCAAGGCTCGAACTGATCCATCATGGTGTTCCCCGTGCGCACACGCAGTCGGTCCACGCGTTTGCCTTCTCGCATCGCACCTTCTGCCATGTGCGTTTCCGCTCCCTCTCGCGACGACGTCCTCACGCCTGCGCCCTCTGGTTCACGTGCACGGGCGCGCTTCTCCGCGTGTTCCTCACAAACCGCATTATCGCCGCTGTCGCTCGATGTATTATCTGCTCCATCATGGACGCAGTCTTCGTCCAGTCGTTGAACGAAGCTACGCAGAGCTTCGATTCGCTGCGAGTTTATATCACCCTCGTCAAAACTACTCTTTTCCACCACCACGGCGTTCCCCTTGGTGCTGTCCAAAATGTCCGCCGCCTCCTGAAGCCCGTCGGGTCTAGGCACTGGCGTCGCTGCCTTTTGCATTTGGATCTTGTCCAACGCGTCATCCAGCGGCACCAGGCGCATGATCTCCGCTGGAACGTCGTTATCAGGAAGCTCCAAGGCTTTCCGCCGGACTGCGTCCATGCAAACATTCCGGTGCGCGCGGTGTCCGCGAGATTTCGCTCCTTGAATGAGAGCCACGACCACGTGCCTGCGAACGAGAGCCTGGTGCACAAACTTGGCCATGCTTGCGGCCGTATCATCGTCGCCCCCAGACTTCATAATCACAGACACTATTCCAGCCAGCTCGGCGCCCGTGTGAGGCACCGACGGCGGCTTCCGCTCTGCAGCCAAGTCTTCCGCTGCGCTCAACTGCGCCAACATGTCCGTCCAAGGCATCGGGAACGACGTCGCGTTTCCACGCGCGGCCATGCGGATCATGTTATTCCCCGTTTCCATGTCGAAAGTTCGCTCGCTCCGGTATCGCTTCTCGAGTGTGAAACATACCATGGAGGTGACGCACGCGGAGGCGCAGATCATTTCTAGAACCGTCACACTCCCACAGAAAAGCTCCTCTGGATAATAGAAAGTCATCAAATCATTCGCGAGCGCCGCGGGAGGCAAGAGAGGTCCCCCACTCGGCCCCTGCATGCCGCTCTGGCATTCCCAACGCAAAAGAGCTTCACAACGAGAACACGTTTGGTTCTCGGAGTGCCTAATGCCGCTTGCGCATCGCAAATCCTCGGGGCAACACAACACTTTCACTGGGCCATCCCCTGAAAGCACCGACACATGCCAGTCGTCGAACTCTTCTGGCCGATCTCGCAGATGCACGCCGCAACTCTCCTCGCTGTCGCAGCTGACCTCGCCGAACCGCTCCACGCACGCGTCCACGGACATGTGTATCCTCACGAAATCGCTTGGGAGACCGAAGAAATCGCCCCCGTTGAACAAAACTTCCTGCCACTGGATAGCACCCCTTCCGCCCCTCGACGAATGGAAACTTCCGCGCACAGACCATGAAGATCAGACTGCTCACAGCGTCTTCGCCCAGCCCGCGCGCGTAGTCATCAAGACATCGCCGATCGATCGCCAACGCCGCGAGAGGCGCTCCTTTTCGAATCTTCCAGGCGATAGCCTCGTTGTACACAGACCAATACTTGATATCCTTCTGCGTCGCATCTTCCGTCGAAGTGCACGCCAGCGCTGCCGCAACCGGGGCCAGCGCTGCTGCGTGGTTTCCAACCGCATGCGCTCGAAATTCCGCCTCTGCAGCCCCTTGCCAAGGGCATCCATCGAATGCGTAATGTTTCTTTGGCAGAACCACTGCCCCGTGCGACCGGATGCTTCCGTTAACCGACGATGCGCCATTCGCTGAGAATGCGGAGACCGTGGGCTGATCTTTTATTGAATTTGCGATCGCTTCCAGACCGACTTCCCTTGCCCCGCGCAACCTGTCGGCAGATGCACGACTGTCGACGGCTCGGACGCAATAAACATGAGATGCTCCTGCATTCTGTTCTGCTGCATCTGCCACCCCGTTGTCCTGCGTCTGCCCTTCCCCGCTGCGCTTCGCACTGCGCGCGTCCTTCGTGTTCTTCCTATCGCCGCCGATCGCTCCGTCACAACGTGGTTTGATCCTCCCGCTCGTGCGGTCTGACAGCTGCGACTTCGACTCGAAACCCCAGATGGCCCCCCCGCGCTCTCTACTCAGCCGCGATGCCGGATGCGGCGCTGGAGGAAGAACTCCCGACAGCTCCCTTGAGCGCTCTACACCGTCGGCGCCACCTTCGAGCCTTCGCCTTTCCAACTCGGCGCCTCTCCCGGCCACGGCGTCGCAAGGCGGCGCGCTCTCCCCTGTCACGCGGGCGCGAGTCGCCGTCGCGAGCGCTTCCGGCTTTTGCCTCCACGCAATGTCACCGCCCACTGCGCCGGCAACGCTTTCCTGTCCCTTCTCGCCCCCTGTGCCGGGTCGCCCATTCTCAGGAAACATGGACACAGGAGCGGGACCCGCGCTCTTCTGTTCATCTCCCTCGACGCAGCTGCTGTGAACTGTTGCACTGGATTGCCACGCTGGTTTGTACGACGTGCTGGCGATCTCCGATCCTGTCTCGTCGTGCACTTCCAGCGCCACCGCAGGGGCCCAGTCACCCCCGACTTCGCACTCGGGCCCTCGACCCAGCACGAGGCTTGAGCCTTGCAGGTCTGTTCGAGTGAAACGCATCTCCACGCCCAATTGATTTTTTATCAGCCCATCGAAACGCGAATATACGCACACGACCACGTCTTCCGACGGCGCCCCCCCCTCCACGCCGTACCTCTGCAAAGCAAATATCATAGTCTCTCCTGCGTGCACAGCGTGCCGTAGTTCCCCGCCATGTGAACGCAGGTCCAGCAACGCATCCCCAGTATCGCTCAAGTGACGCACGCACGCTTCGCACGCAGCGCGACGCCCTTCCTGGCTGGCGAGGATCTCGTTGCACAGTCCCGCCCGCGCAAGCAATTGGAAAAGGCTGTCCGCCAAGCTGGCGCTTGCGCCGAGTCCGTGCCCCTGGCCCACACGTCGCCCTATCTGTGCAAGCTCCCAGAGTCGCCTCGCATCTGATTTGGCTTCAAATACCAACGACTTCTCGAATAATAACATGAAACGCACCATTTCCTCTTCCAAAACTCGGTGCCTGTCGACGCCTTCCAGCGCGTCGCACAGAACTTCCTGTGCTCGGCGCCGCCCCGCCCACTCCTGCACCCACTCTTCCTTGAGCACACGCGTCACTGGCTCGGCGTCTCCCCACGCGTCCTTCAAGTGGCCGAGCAGCTCCGCCGGCGCGAAACCCGCGCCCGCAAGAGTCCACGATGTCGGCGCCCATTGATTGTGCAAAATTCTCAACGCACGGAAGTCGGCTTCTCGGAGCACGCGCACGGGAGCGAAGAGATCCCCAGGCAACATGCGCACCGCTGGCGAACGACCTGGCCGAGCACCCACGGCTTCCATGGCCGAGTCCCTTCGTCGCGCTCCCGTTCCCTGCAGCGACTCCACTGCGCAATCATTCCATGAATCGTTCAGCAAGCCTCCAGCATGTTGATCTGCACTGGCGCCGCCCAGTCCCCCTCCCCCGATAGACGCCAATGCGTTCGCGCCGCTGGACTCGCTCGCTCGAACCACTCCCAATGGCGCACTGTCACATGCCGTGGCGGTTTCTTCGCGAACTTACATCAAAAAGTGCACTGTGGAATCCTCGCGCGTCTTCCAACCTTGCACGTGGGACGGCGGAGCGCTCGATCTCACGGGGCAGCCATCGCGCATCTCCCGCCGCGCGCCTGTGGCCCCCGCGCGCAGACAGCAAGCGTTATAATGCCCGCCATGAAATTCTTCTCCGTGGTGAAACACGCAGCTCACAAGCTTGAACTTCTGACCGCTGACGACCAAGGACTCGCAAGGACGAAGCATGTGTCGAATCTTCTTAACTCTCCTCGTCACGGCGTCGTACGTTTGCGCGAGCAGCTGCACCCATAAACACGGAGGAGTCTTTGTAATACACCAGTCTTTCGTGGCCTCTGCGCAGCCGCACTCCTTCGGGCACTCCCACCTGAATTCCGACACCATGTGATCACCCCTCGAACTCTCGCCGACGACGTCTTGAACTGTTAGGATGTCTTTGCAGCGGCTCTTCGGGAGATGCAGTTTCAAACACGTGAGCTCGGTGTCCCCCCTGACTTTCCGGACGCCGCCGCAGCCGGGCCGCGCGCGCACGAGTCGCTCCACCTTCTCCATGCGGAACACTTGACACACGTCGCGCGCGCGTTCCACTTGCAAAAGCTCTTGCAAGAATTCATCTGCGTCCTCCTGGCATCGGTTGTAGAATACGCGCGGGATGGCTTCCAACTTTATAGGCCGCGTCGAACTACCGAGTTCAATTTCTACCAAGGTCTGAGCCAGCAGACCGTCAAAATCCGGCCCCCCCCCCCGCTCGTTGCGCCGCGTTCCCTCTCTCTGCGAAAGACCGCCCGCCCCATTCGGCCGGGCTTCTCTGCCGCGCGACGCGCGCCGCGGCTCGCACGCTGGGGATCGCGAAGAGCGCTTGCGCAGAGGCATTCATGAAACAATAGCACCGTGGGTTCTGAGGGCCCGGCAGCGCCAGACACTCTCCGCCCTCGCGCGCGCCGCGCGCGAAATCGCCACCACGCTGCTCGTTCGCCGATCCGACAGAGGGCCCTGCGAGCACACTATTGTTCTTGCCCTCGGCCACGCGAGCGCCTGCAGCGGACCGCATCCACGGGGCGGACCTCTCAAGCAAAGCCACGCCGCGCAGCGCGCTCCACCCTCGGGCAACGCGAATGACGTGCCCTGACATGCACCAGACAACCGCCCCCACGCAGACTCCAACGGCGTCTCCCAGCGCCCACCTCTCGCTTTGCGCCACCTGCATGAAGTCAATTGTGTCTTCCGTCGCGTGCACCCACACGAACGTTTTCCGTCGTCTCAACCAAATTTCCACAGCCACCACGTTCTGCCTCGACTCTGGACCGTCGCCAGTTTCACCCGAGAACGCATCATTCGCGCACTCCCGCCCGAAACATCGCAGGGCGTCTCTGCGCCACCGCCCGCGCCGAATCTTCGCTACTGCAACTTGAAGGCACTTGTTCGACCACGCCCCCAAGGCACCCCCGTTGCATGCCAGAACGGCTACCGCGATCGGCGCAACGCTGGGCACGTAAGTCGAAAACATGCTGGTAAGCTTAGATATATATTACGCCTTAGGCGTTCCCATATCCCAGGCTTTGGCTCATATCGCATGAGCAAGAGAGCAAGACGAAGCATGGGATCTGGAGTAAAGGATAGGATGGGCATCGTCAATGGAAAAGGTATTTTCCGATCTCAGATACAAGTCGTGCGCCTCGGTGAGGCACAATCACATATTTGGCCGGGCCCGGCTTGAGCCAGGCACGGCAGCGGTACATGCTCGATTTATACCTCGCCTTTAACCTTCTCCGTTTAAAGTCGGAGGGGGAGGAGACGAGCAGGCACCGCACTTCTACATTACGCGGAAAAACAGTGCTAAGCAGCAGCGGCTGCCTACAAGGCAAGGGCGCGCGAGTAGCCTCGCTACCGGCGAGTTTCCTCGCTACTAGAGCGCACCTGCACGCGGGTTTCCCCGCTAGCTCGGGAGGCAGGGCCGTCCTGAGACGACCTGCCCGCCCTATACGGTGTATGTTTCTTCAGCTCGTGCTTGAAGGATTGCTGGCCGGCCATTACTTGTAGGAGCAACGCGCGGTCAATACTACCTTTGGTATGACCATCGGCAGTCATATCCCGCGTGTCACACCATTGAACGCTTTCAACGATTCCGCGCTCCATCATCTGGCGGATCCAGCTAATGTGCCCAAGCAGAGTACATTCTGTGGGCTTCTTCAGATCTTTGCTAGACAAAGACTTGAAGACAGACTCGGCATCAATAGTCAGAGTGACTTTGATACATAGACCACCCATTTCCAATATGTTCTTTAACTGTGTGGGGGTCAATGGTCCCGAGTGTAGCTCGTGGAGCGTTACAATGGTCGGGTAGCAGTCTTCCAAGTTGTGGGCTGCTGCCAGTGTTTCCGCAGAGTAGCTCGAACGCACCTGCAGTCGATGAGACTTGCAGTATGCGTCCACCAGGTGCACGACGGGTTTCCCCGCTTGCGTGTGGCCACGCCTCAGCAGGTTAGCCCCGCGGATACCATAGCCTTTGACTTCGTCGTCTTCATCTCCGTTGAGACGACGATAGCCAGAATCGCTATGCAGGTCGACTTCTCCTGTTGGGGTCATAGCTTGATACACGATCTTCTTCGGACCTGCCTGTAGTTTTCTGGTAACCGCGTTTAGTCGTCGTACCTGGATGTTTGTCGGTTCCTGGATACGTTGTAGTGAGACAACATAGACCATCAGCCATACCTGCGTGATCAACGCATAGGCTAGAGCG